ACTGTGTGGGGACAATCGCTTGAAAAATTAATAATTTAGTCTGCCGGTAGGGGGGGGGGCAATCGACTTTAAAAGTTAATAATTTAGCCGCGATCATCTTTAATCCTCCCGTAAACGAAACTCGACCATTAATTATTTATTGTTTGATGTTATATTTTACAATAATGTACAACTATATCGTGAAATACTTTCTTTCAGAATTTCGCGCCTAATTTGAACTGATAGACTAGAGAGAAGGGAGCTAGTTAACAGACCGCCAACTCTGATCGAATAGTGGGACTTGACCGCCAATTATATAGCGAAACCTCGGCCCCAAAGTGCGGAGGGTGTTTTACGGCAACGGGTCTTTAATCATGAACACTTGGACTTACTGACCAGAGGCGCTAACTAAAAGATTCAAAGTCTCGCACACATCACGTTGAAGGTTTCTTCACAAAGAAAGAACTCAAGGTTTCCAAACTTTATTTTGTGATAATCTTAGTTTCTAAAAACGCGAAGTAAAAGCTTACCTTTCTAATATAAAAGTTATTACTTAACGAAATCGAGCGGTAACTTAAATATGGCGACTGGAATATACTTTTTCTGTTCTTGGGTGCTTTTGAAAACGAATTTAAGCGTTTTTAAATTTAAAACTACACATTAATTTAGGTATATTGTTTTGAAAGGTATCATATGTTATACGTGCTATAAACAAACTATACAATAATATAATGTTTCGGGCCGTTTTCACAATGTTTTCTCCACCTCAGTGGTGGCGCTACTAACGCAGTTAATGTCATACCCATAGACATCATACAGAGTCTTACCATTTCAACCAAGGCACAGACTTGTTCCTTGTTGTCTGTTTTCTTGAGTATAGCATTCAGCAGAAGAGGATATTTGGTCAGACGCTGCATAGGCTTTATCAGGAGGTCGGACAACTGTAATCGATCGCATTCTTTTTTCGTCTCGCACCACTGAAAGGTCAAAGGTCGCTTTAAATAGCCTGAAAACGTTGTTAAATCATTGAATAACTCTTTTATGCCCTCGACTTGGTTGAAATGCCACTCTCTAACTATCAAAACTTTATTTTTTTTAAATTAACTCACTACAATGCCCTCTGGAGTTCAAAAGTACAGTTTCATGTCTATCTTAGCGCCACCTATTGACGACGACGTCTGTTCAATTCTTATCTATGACACTTAAAAACCTACATAAACCTGTATGGGCGAAACAAAGAGAAACATTAACGAGTAGGTTATATATCGTTAAACAAGATTTATTTTGAAAGATAACGTTTCGACCAACTGCCCTTTGTCAGACCCATATACAAAATCTATATTAGGTCGGTGTTTTATGCGACAATAAAACTGAAACAATGTTTACCAAGTCTTTCTTTACTGGCTTCTATACGAGTTTCCCAGTAACAAGAACATGATATCATCTCGACCGAATATTTTGCGTGCTAAACGCCACTGCTGACGAGACCTATCGCATAACACCAGATCTCGGTAAGTCAGCTGGGCATATGCAACCCACAAAACTTCTGTCGAAACGCTGCTTTTCCTTTATTAATTATTATGTTACGTAATGCCTTATGATGGCGAAGCGTTCTTTGCAGATTCAGTGTTTGGTGCGACACTACGTCACACAAAATGTTGGTGGATCGATCACGCCTCGCCGGCATGAAAGTGTTACGTAATAAAATAAAGTCTATAATACTTTGGGTTTTTGTAATAAGTATTTGATTTGTAATAGTAAAAACACATAGAAACAAACATAGCTTTAAATCGCCTAAAAAAAACTGTAAAACCCTAACGCTTTGAAGAGGTGGGCCTGTCTTCAATAGGAGGACTTTTTATCGCCTTTTATTTATGTGATTCTTTCATTCATAAAATATGGTTGATCGCTATTCAAACCTTTTATAATTATATAAAAAGTTTTTTTTCTTTTGTTCTGCTGCCTTCTTTTGGCAAGTTTAGAAAATATTTTCGGGCTGTTGCGGATTTTAAATGAACTGCATCAAACATTTTTTATTCTATGCATGACTAAAAAAAGGTTAAAAAGCGCACAAATTATTAGGCGTAAAGTACTTTCTATAGCTCCTTAAGATACACATCAATATGGTAATTTAACAAACTCACAGCGACGTAGGCCTTGTATAACTCATTCTCTTTGTGCCTTTCTTTCACGTATTCAACACGGAGGTTGAGTTCGGTGCAGTATTGGATATAGGGTTGGAAAAGATGGTCACACTATACAAGAAATAGACATGACGAAGTTAGAGCACGTGGTAAACACTTGCCACGTTGTTTCAATATTAAATGTTCTGCTTGCTGAAAGTAAAGAAATACTAGGAAATAATTAAACCTTAGGTTAACTTCACTATAATTTATTTCATTAAATGTATACTATTACAAAATGTTTAATTGGTTAAATAATTTTTAAGAGTATTAGCGTAGGATTGCACTGACTCCTTCAAAATTCAACATCACTCCAGGTGCTTGTTGCAGCTAGAGTTCGGAATATACTTTTTTTTATAAACCACATTCAAATGATCTATCATTTAGTTGGTCTATTCTTTTTAGCAACATATTTTTTAACATACACGTAGTTAGAATTTGTAAAAAAAATGAATCCATAAATACTATACTCTAAGGATTGTAGACAAAAGCAGACACGAACTTTTAAGAATCCATCTTTCATGAGAACAGGGTTCAATGGTCCTTTGTTAGTTCTGCTGGAGTTTAACATAGGGAGGATGTGGTTGATCCAGAGCTGATGATTAGATGCATAAACATCTTGAATGTTGCTAAACACCATGTCAATGTCAATCTGTAAGTTCCAAACAAATATATGTACATCATTCTTCTAACAATGTTTTCAATTTACTTTCATGTAACAATGTTGCTAAACACCATGCCAATGTCAATCTGTAAGTTCCAAACAAATATATGTACATCATTCTTCTAACAATGTTTTCAATTTA